ATTTCCCATGTTTCCCTCTCCACCACCAACCTAAAACATCTCCTTGTCTTCACAAATTCAAGCTACAATTTTGTGGCTTCTCAAAATATAGATTGTTAAGGAACATGAGCAAGACTGTAAGACAAAGTGAATTTGTGATACCAGACACAGACTGCCCATGACTGAATGGGTGGAGAGAGACAGAAAGGATGTTAACTTCCCATATCCAGGAGCAGGGCACTGCGGTATGGATATGATAGAGGTCATCTCTGGCTATAGAAAAGAATCAGAAAGTTGAGACCTAAACATAATTCTAATAGGCCTTGGAAAAATCAGGTAACAGAACTGGAAGGATCAAGCTCCTTTTGGTATAGTTTGCTTTTATTCTGAATCTGTAGGCATGTCTGTCTGGAGCTAGAGAACTAACCTCTTTCGGTCAGCTTACTTTTTCAGCTGTCTTAACCACTGTTTCCTGCACAGTTGATTCGAATCAACAGCATGGTCAATTCAAGCTCTCATTTAAAATCAGCTGAAAACGATGAACTAGACTTCTTTCTCCATCCATGTCTCGGTGGCCTAAAATTGTGGGTAAGGTCTTGGTATCTTAGCAGCACATTCTTCAAAATGAGTGCGTTGAGCCTTGGATAGGGTTGAAGATTGGGGCTTAAGGGACAGATGTGCAGAGGTTGTGAGTTTGGGAGAAAGTAGAGAAGGAACATGAAGACTGTGAGCAACATCACCAGGGAGGAGTATCATGTTCAGGGATTCTCGAAAAATATTTATACAGTTGCACTGCTAAAACAAGAATGAATCCTGCTAGCCTCGTGTGTCAAAAGCAACATGATTCATAAGAGAGATTTTATAGCTAGAGACAGAGCTTGCCTACACAAGGTGAGCAGGGCTCATTTGATAAACCAATGCACCTGTGCACAAGGAAGAATTAGGGCAAAAAAATAGAGGGACAGCCAAGGCAGTCGTCCCTCTACCAGCTTCCCTCTATGCTTTCATATCCTTCCACAATTTCCCAGCTTTCCCTGCATGCGTTTTCTTTTTAAACTGAAAGAAAAAGGAAAAAAACAAGGCTAAGACCTTCAGACCAAGGCAATTTTTCCCTTTCCTTCCAACTATTATATTGAAGTAAATATAATAAGTATATATTGAAGTAAAAACCACGCTGACTCCATTGAGATCAACTCATTATGGTGGACCCACAGTACTTCAAAAAATAGAATGTTGGAGGGGATTTGATGACTCATTGCCCAGGAACCTAGAACGAGTTCCTCACTAAATCAGTCAGCAAAGTGGTCCTGTTGTGGCAGTTAGGTGGCCCAGAAGGAAAAGCAGAGCTCTCTGGGATTGTAATTAATTTCTGGAGGGAGAAAAAGTGGCTCAAAGTATTCCCTTGACTTACTTCAGAAATGAGTAGGAGAACTCAAACACAAAGGGCTCTGTTGGTGAGTTGCTTCCTAACACCTTTCCTTTTCCTGATGAGATCCACTCTGGCTTTGTTTCCCACAGCACCGACTGTCCCTCCCCCTGCCCACCTTACTTCATCCCTTCTGTGCCTCTGCAAGCAGTGGGAGGCCCCTGACTTCACCAACTGCATTTATAGCATCCTAATAGCTTCCTGACCCATCTGTTAATTGGCCATTAAAAAAAAGAAGAAGAAGCCACAGAATTCCTCCCTCAGAATGATTCTTATCTTCAAGACACTAATGAATCAACTCAGGGCAAGGAGGAAGGAACAGGTTTGACTGTGAGATAGCTCACAGGGAATAGAATGTCAAAAGGGGGCTGCTTCCTAGCCCTTTCCTGGGCACAGCCCACACCCCACCTCTTTACTGAAAACCCCAGAGAAGTGCTGCAGAGACACTGAACAAACACTAAAACTGGCAGGTGCCTGCAGTCAGTCAGTTTGAGCTTCAGCTTGAGCAGTTCGTAAAAAGGGGAAGATAAAGGTAGAGATCCTAATGGGAAAATGATTCTTATTAGGAGAATTTGGCTGTCCACGTCCAGTGGCATCTTCCTCTCCTCTATGGGGTCCCACTGGCAGGATCTGACTTGATGCTTATCTGCTAAAATCTGGAGAGTCGGTCATTTCCCCTTACAGACACTGACTTCTCACTCAGAACATAATGGCAAGGTCTAATCACTTCTGGAAAAAATGAAATCTGTTCTTCCCTGTAGGAGAGAGATGTAAGGAAGTCCTGCCCTAAGGAATGTGTGTTCATGATGGAGGGCAGAGGGCTGGGAACACAGAGGCAAAGCAGATGGCCCATCCATTCTTTCACTCTGTTTAAACTCCCACAAATATCCTTTCCCATGAGGCTGCTCTCACTGAAACTCCCTCAGACTCAGGTCTGCTTGTCCAAGTAGCATTTTCAGGGAGGATCATACACCAATATGGCTCTACTTTTCAGCAAGGAAAAGTCTTTGCTAAACTATTTCAAAAGAGCTGTAACTGAAAGTACATCCTACATCCCCTTTCGACCTCTGACAGTACCCTTTCTGCTCCCCTATTTCCCTAGGGTGAGAGCGTTTCTCTCCTCCCTGCTTCACCTACCCAACAAGGGGGCTAAACACCTCCCGGGAGTGGCAAGCAGCAACCTTGGAGATGTGAACGGACAGAGCAGCCCCATGTTCCCCACAAGGAATCACAGCGAATGCTCCTGTGATGTGCTTGGAAGGAAGAGGGTGGGATGGGCTGCTGCTGAGCCCAAGTCACCCAGACTGAAAATGAAGTTTCCTGCTCAAGGTCATTTGTGGAGCGTCCTCAGTGGCTCTCCCAGGCTCTGTCCTCTTGCCTCCCACCCTCCCCTGCACATGTACAGGCAGGCATCACCCCTACCAACCAGACCCAGGATGATGGTTTCCAAAACACTGACAGGCAAGACTGCAGTCGCCAGAAGAAGTGCTGTGAACTGAATAAAATCAAGAGGTAAACTTGAGGGAGAAACACCCCATACTTATATAATGATCTGGAGGCCCAAAAACCACTTCTCCCATGATTACCTTTCTTCCCCAGCCCCATAGCGAAACTGCTCCCAGGATACCACTGTAATGACCCTTATTTGGGGTAGGGGTATCTGAGCACTGAAGAGGGAAGAAATATCAAGAGGAACAGTGACTTATCCAAGGTCACATGCTAATGGCAGAATCCAGACATGTTTGCTTGCAGCAACTGAGACTCATAGCATCAGAAAAAATTGTGAACAAATTCTGTATGAGGCAGCAGGGTCAGGATAGCAGGCAGCTTTCTTTAAGAGGGCAGAGAACAATGGCTCAGGGAAGAGACTGAGCCGAAGAAAGGTTCGTGGACACCAACCAAGAAGAGGAAGAGGTTTGATAAGAGAAAGAGACAAGAGACAAACCTCCTGAGTCCCGAGGCAGAGGTGGATGGATGACAAGGATCAGCACATCTGCAACGGGAAGACACCTGCCCAAGAGCAATTCCTGATCTGTTTTCCAAGATAGAATTCTTTTCCAGAGAAGGCAAAGGAGGGAGTATCTTGCCCTTATTTTGCTCACTGTCCCACTTGTTCTCTGCATTTACGAGCCAGGACTGATGCAGACCATTGTTCAAAATTGTCCCACTACCACCCAGGGCCAGTCCAGGCACAAAGGAGATGTCAAGTTAAGCTGTGTTACCTGAGAGATGAGGTGGGGGAGGAAGAGAAATGGGTGACAACCTAGAGTGATGAGTTACAAATGGGTAATCCATTTGGAGTCACCCTAAGTCCAGCACTTGAGTTTAGAGTACCCACACTTCATGCACTTGACTCAATAAGACCTCCCAGGAAGTATCATCTTTTCTCAACACCCACAGTATCAATTAGGAAAAAAAAAATCCAGCTCTTTCAATATGGCTAGAAATTTCTATCTGCCTTCCTTTCTCTTCAGCAAGGTAGGAGTGATTAATGTCCACAGCAATGAAGAAAGTTTTTAAAGCCATGAGAATAACAAGGCCTGGAGACGAGCTAGAGGTAGATGAGTGAGAACAGGGTCCAGTGGGCCAACTCATAAGCAGAAATATTGGAGCGGGGGGTCCTGGATACTAGGGTAGTACCCACATCATGCACCAGAAAATGAGGCATTTCCTGTGGCAGAATTTTCAGGTTCCCAGAAAGGACCCTGGAACCACATCCAGCCATTCCACTCTATGAAAACACTAGCAATAGGGCCAACTTTGCATTCCTTGGGTTCTGGGTTTCTAAAGGAAAGGCAGAACTCTTGTTCCCTTGCTTTAAGGGCCCAATGGGTCCTGTGAAAGTCAGAGCACTGGGTGGGAGGTGGTCAGAGCAGAACCACGGAACCACAGCTACCATGTTTTGAGCTCTTGGTCTAAGTCTTGGCAGGAAGCAGCCCCCACTGTCTCTCCCAGATGTGAACTGAAAGATGCCCACCAAGTTGAACATGGCCAGAACTGTTAAAACGAGAGTTCTGAAGCCTCCCGGGCTTAAAAGAACAAGTCCTCCAGTCTCAGCAGGGAAGAGAAGCATCCCACTCGAAGACACACCATCTGTGCTTGGTCAACATGAAATGGAGAACCTTTATTTCTTCTTCCCAGCAGAGGCAGCCTTTCCCTAATACCCCACTTCTCAGGCCACAGACTCTCCCAGTGTACCCTAAAGGGCTTGATACTCTTTTCAGTAAGATTCCAGCATCGTTCAAACCACTGCTGAAGATGACACTCTGGTCTAACTCAAACAACCAAGTGCCCTGAGAGCCTAGATCAAAGTGCGCACATCATGAAAACCGAATCAGAATTAGTAAAATTCTTATACTTGAACTTCATGGTCTCCACTGATTCTTTCATTGCCTTTCAAATCCCACTACCACCAAAATATGCATTTCTGGTTCCTAGGAAATAGAGAAGAGGGTACAGGATTTATTGTATGTAAAAGAAGTGACAGTGAAAGTGAATCGGAAGGATCAGGGGGCGCCGGTGGAGAGGCCTAGGGAGGTATAGGGAGCGGGGTGAGGCCACGGGAGACAGGGGCCGGCACCAGGGGGACTCTCACCTGTGGATGTTCATCTCCCGTGGAGGACGGTGGGCCTTGTCATAGGAGACCTTGGCGAAGACACCGGCCACGATGACGAAGGCGATCACCCCGCAGGTGATGTAGACCGTGAAGTTGGTCTTGTCCTTCTCCGGATCGTACTTGTTCTCGGGTCCCGGCGACACCACCCTGGTGCTGGGCGTCTGTACCCACACGGGGCTCTGATAGTTGGTGCACTGGTGCTGGTCCAGCTTCTCGTGGCGCTTCTTGCAGCAGAAGCGATAGTAGCAGGTGCCGCAGCAGTACAGGTAGCCGCTCTCACTGTTGTTGCACTCGAACTCCTTGTCGTACTGGCCACTCACGTCGTAGTAGCCCCAGCACGTCTCATAGGTGACGGTCGCGCTGGCCGCAGCTGCCGCCG